CAACACATGTGTCATACAAACACGTGCTCTCAGTGTTTACAATGCAGTCATATGTAAGCCATTCATGCATTACGTAATGAGTTGTTGACATTGTATTGACTGCAATGAGAGTGCAATTCATTGAAGCTTTTAATTTTGAAAAGCCATTCAATGTATCATTTATTTGTGTAATGCATTCAAGTTGTGCACTGTTTTATGTGTGAAACACTTGTGGTTGCAAATATGCTGGCTAATTAGGTGCTATATTCAATGGTTTATACATTTTTAACATTTTAATTAGGTTTGCTTGCATTTTGTGTTTTGTTAACTATTTATAAGACGTTTCAAAAACTAATCAGTAATTGACTCGTTTTCGGTGTAATTAAAAGTGAAATCCGTTTAACATGTTTTGGACGTAACGATAATTTTAACATAAATATTGGTTTAATGTCATAAAAGTGATATAAAGTTTGGTGTTTATTTTGAGAGCAATGAATAAATTCTTAAATGCCATTAAAATAATAAATACATTTTATAAATAGCCGTCAGTTTGGCTAAAAAGTAGGCGTTTTGCGTAACAGTTAAGTCATGCTATGTTAGCTCATGTTATATACATTTATAGCTATTTATAAGTTGCATTAAATTTTGTTACATTATTACCAATCTATCGATAAGAAAGTCAAAAGTGATAACAAAAGTATAAGTTTTAAAGTTTGTTTGTTGATTAATACGCTAATATAAGACAAAGTCTCACAATTACCTCGATCATGTCAGTCAAAGAAGCCCTCAAAGAAAGTTTGATAAGTTTTTTTGAGTACAAAACTCCGAAAATAGTTCACATTAAGAGCAAACGTGTGGGAGTTTTGAACAGAATCATACAGACCCTGATCATCGCCTATATTATTGGGTAATCATTTATTTGTCAATTATAAGTCTACTTTACGAGTGGTCTATTAAGTTAATTGAAATTTTTATTTTCCAATAGTTTTGTTATAATTGCGAAAAGAGGTTATCAGGAGTTCTCGGGAATCGAGAGTTCGGTCACCACTAAAGTCAAGGGAATTGTGTCCACAAAAAATCTAACCGCCGATGACTTTAATGATAACTATAAAGACGATAAGGACCTATATATCCGTGTGTGGGATATCTCAGACCTGGTTGTGCCCGCATCGGTACAAAACACTAACTTATGTTTTAGGATTTGACTCTTAATTGTTGTCTTAAATTCTGAACACAAATGCAGGAAAATGGAGCCTTCTTTGTGACCACAAATATGATAATAACACCGAATCAGACGCTAGGCATCTGTCCCGAAGACGCAGACGTTTCTGACGCTGTCTGCGACCCAAAAGTGAAGGACTGGTGCGTCGATAAAGTGTTTCAATTAGGACATGGTTTGCCATAATTTATTGTCTTATAAATGGCTTTTCATTGAATGAGTTTCAATGTCTCAAAAGGTGTTTCCACGGGAAAGTGTGTCAACTCTTCGCGCAAAGACGTGCACACGTGTCAGATCGAGGGCTGGTGTCCGGTCGAGAAGGATGACTACCCCCTGAAGAACAATACACCGATGTTTACGGCGACCAAGGATTTCACGGTTTTGATCAAAAATAGCATTAATTTCAACAGTTATAACGTCCGGCGAAGGAATATCATCGAAATCGACAACTCGTCCAAACTTCAGGACTGCACTTATCATCCGGACTACAACCCGGGATGTCCTGTGTTTGTGCTGAACGACATCGTGAAGGGCGCCGGCCAGGACTACGACACCATTTCACAGTACGGCGGAGTTATCGGCATTGAAATCAATTGGGACTGCAATCTGGACTTCGATGTCAAATACTGTGTCCCCAAGTATTCATTCAAGCGATTGGATGACCCATACACACAGATAGCCAAGGGTTGGAACTTTCGTTACGCCTATTATAATAGCAATTATCGCACTCTATATAAGGCGACGGGTATTCGGTTTGTACTTCTGGTGAGCGGTTCCGCCGGAAAATTCAATTTCATTCCTCTGGTCATTAAGATTGGCTCAGGACTTGGATTACTAGCTATTGTAAGTCATGTCTCTTAGATGAGTGCCTCGGACCAGATATTTAGTAAACAATTTTATTTCATTCAGACCACTATTATCTGTGATATCGTTGTCCTGTATCTCCAGAAGGGAGGCAAGTATTATAAGGACAAGAAGTTTCAATACGTGGAACAAGTGGACAATGACTACACGGTCTCTAATGTTATATAAAAATTGTTGAATAATTATATCTAAATTTAATAATTTATGTAATAATAGGATGTATTGGCAACTAATTTGAGGAAAAGGACCGCATCTAACGAACAAAATACACCCCTTTCGGACTCGTGAGTACAACTGACACAAGTGTACCACTGATTAACATAAAGACAAACCGGATTTTATCAAATTATAACTTTTGCTACATTATAGAAATCACTTATACTGTATAACTAGTCATTCATTTGTTGCTATATTTAATAAAATTAATATTTTATTTTGAAATGTCTATGAAATGGGTTGTATTGATGACATACTGTAGACAATAGTGAACACAACTAACTCTTAGTCTTGTCGGACGCCTTAGTCTTGTTGGCGGAAGTGGTGGCCAGTTGTCTGCCGTCTTTGTCGGCCTTAGCCCTCGCCATGTCCTCGATATTCATGCGAATACTTTTGGTCACCTCTTTCTGCAGCAACTGCTGTGTCGTCAGATTCTTCTGCTTCTTGGGTGCTGTCGTCCACACAAACCATCCATTAGTGACAGTAAACCACAATTGAAACCACAATTCAAACCAATCATTGATCCAAACCTTTGCTAATCCTATTGACTCCCCTGTGGACGGAGTGCTGTTTGGCATTAGCCGGCAGTTTTGCCTTCACTTTCAACTTTCCCTGAGCCATATGTCCACTCCTTGTCCTCCCTGTCCACCACTCGCTTTGAAAATTGTTTGATTTTACACTAAATTAACACTAAATTCAATGCCTTTCCGTTTAAATCACCAAAAAGTGTGAGATTTGCCAAACATATGGAGTGTATCACGTGTTCATGAATTCAATTCACATATAATGTAACCGAATATTTCTGGTATTTTAATATTATTTGCCTTATATTTAGTGTTAATTCTTATGCACAGGGTTTCAAATATATGAAAATATCACGTAATGTGTGAATGTATGGCATAAACGTGAACGCAATGCAATGCAAACGCAATGACAAGACGTAAACAAACAGTGAATGAGTTTTGCAATTGATTTGACTGTTAATCGCAAAACAAATACATTTCAAGTGTTTCTCAATGTTTGAGTGATTTGTTTGTCACCAGAAGTATGAAACAAATGGTCGACACCTCTGCGGACAACCCGTCGCATGAAAATGAGGACAAACTGATGGCAAACGGCGTCCACAGCAGCGATGAGTTGTCTGAGGAGGAGAGCGAAGAGCTGTTCACACAAATGGAGAGCCAATTGACGGACAAAGAAGTGCTTCATATGACAGATGTGTTGCAATGTCTGCAACTGTCGGACACACGAGGGTTGCGCCGATTGGCCACAACAGGCGACGGATTCATTGACGACAATCTTCGGCGCCAGATATGGCCCAAAGTGGCCAAAGTGTCGGTCGTCGAGACGAGTCCCCGACCCTCGCCCCAGACCATCGAAAGCCATGCCTTCTATAACCAGGTGGTGATGGATGTGAACCGATCGCTGTCGCGGTTCCCGCCGTCCATCGAAGCCACGCACAGGATCTCAATGCAGGACTCATTGATTCGGCTAATTATGAGGGTTTTGATCAAAAACCCTGAACTCCACTACTTTCAGGGCTATCACGACATTTGTGTCACGTTTCTCATGGTATTGGGCGAAGAGATGGCTTTCTATGTCGTGAACCAGTTGTCGAAAACCCATTTCCGGGTATTCATGGAGAAGACGATGGATAAGACGGCGGATCTCATGGATATCATAGCCATTGTGGTGCGGGAGGAGAGTCCGAGTTTGGGTCAACATATGGATCGCTCACAAGTCGGCACAATCTTCGCGCTCTCGTGGGTCATCACTTGGTTCAGTCACGTGTTGCCCACCTATGAGGACGTCACCCGACTCTTCGACTTCTTCCTCGTGAGCCACAGTCTAATGCCGTTGTATTTTACGGTGGCTCTCGTCCTACGCAAAGAGCACCACATTCTGGACGCCGACTGTGATATGCCGTCCATTCATCAACTCCTGACACTCGTGCCCGAGACGGAAGAGTTGCCCATCGAGTCACTCATTGGGACGGCACTGGAGCTCATGGACAGACATCCGCCGCAGGATATGATTAGAGCGCAGCAGAAGGAGAAGAAAGAGCGGTTAATGTTAGCAAAAAGAGCCAAAAATAGGGCTTTATTTGGATCGGTGTTTGACTTTCGCTATCTATTCCACACATTCACTCGCTTTCAGTTCATGTCAATCACCGTTTTGGTTGTATTTTGTGCCACATTTTATCAGATATATTGGAATGTCTAACATATTGTTGTTATTATTATTTAAATTTTTAAACAATTCATTTGATTTTTTAATAATTATATAAAATGTAAAACAAAAATATTGATCCGATTTAATACATTCCCTGTGAATACATATATCAAATGTGCGATTATGAGCGACAATCGCATACTATGTCACCACTAATCGCATTAGTATTTCAAATAAACATTTTATTCTCGAAAATTGGACAACAATTTAGTTAAGAATTTCTTAACATTTGGTTTTAAATTTATTTAGTTTTGAGAAATGTTTTCTCATAAACTCTCGTATATATAGTCTAATGAAATGCCAAATGTCTTGAAAGATCTGTCAATTATGAAATACTCTGCCGTTTCATATGATGGGAAGTGTCTGTCAACGATGTCAACGATTATAAAATCATTTTCGGGGCAAATATCACAGAACTCGTGGTTTTGAGATATAAAATATGGTATCGACTCTCAATTCTCACGCCAATTGAGNCCGTTCCATATGATGGGAAGTGTCTGTCAACGATGTCAACGATTATAAAAGCATTTTCGGGGCAAATATCACAGAACTCGTGGTTTTGAGATATAAAATATGGTATCGACTCTCAATTCTCACGCCAATTGAGTTATGAATCAATTAATTTCATAATAAATAATCTAAAACTTCTACAAATGCTATCAATGATACTCACGATAGTCACCACCACAAAGTGTCAGTCGTCGCTGCCATACTTGCAAGGCGGGTGATTACGGTTGTCAAGGAATTCCAAGTTCACAACCACAACACACTAGAGACCATTCTGTACTTGAACTGGAGAACTGATCGATTAATAACATTAAGACGAATCCGATGACTAGAGTCAGACCAATGACTGAATGAGGATTGTCTTCACTCTTCGTCGTCTCGTTTGTGGTCTTTTGCGTTGAAATTGTCTTCAG